AAAGTTTAAAACCTCATTTAATTTTATGTCTCATAGGGTTTATACTGAGTAGAATATTGTATAACTGTAATAATTCAACTGTAAATCTAAAAATTTACAGCCAATTCTGAAAAAGATGCATCTTAGCTCAGAAAATTGTTATTTAATATGTCAATGCTGATGTAATGAAGTGCTTCTTCTAAGTATGTGGTTATTAAAAAAATAATTTAAAAAAATAATAAAATAAAATAGGTACTGAATAGACTGACTTTAAATGAATTTGTGATTGACACGTGCCTTCTGGATTCCAAAGGCACTCCTACTCTGAATAATCAAACCTTTTCTTTCCTCTGCCTGTGGACTGAGGCTGTACTGTGGCTTGTGTTCCCTGCAGGTGGCCTATGACATGGGGGATTACTATCACGCCATTCCATGGCTGGAGGAGGCTGTCAGTCTCTTCCGAAGATCTTATGGGGAGTGGAAGACAGAGGATGAGGCCAGTCTAGAAGATGCCTTGGATCACTTGGCCTTTGCCTGTTTCCAGGTAAGGGATTAAATGCAGCTGACTTTTATCACAGTGAATACAACATTCTGCATCCCTACATGTTTACATCTGATGTGTTCATCTTCCTAATGGGACCAAATACAGAGCCATTATTTTATTGCTGCCACAGATCACCTGTAAATAAATCAACATTCAAAAAAATGCTTACCTTTCCAGGAAGCTCGCAGAGATGGGCTCAGAACCCAAGTCTGAGTCTAAGTCCAGAGCTAACCAATGCACTGACCGCTTTGCAATCTTCACTCCTCATCACAGTCTCTACATGTAAGAGCAGCAGCCTCCGCCACAAATATTGAATGGGATCATAATCAATGGAGAGCACTGTGTTCTCAGTAATCTATGACTCATCACTGATAACATGCCATAATACTGCCACAAAGGAAGATTTCTATTATCCTTTGCCATTGAACCCAGCGGTTATGTGGCCATTGCTGGCCACAGAGGCACTGCCTTTGTTCCATTGTCCCAACCCCAGGGCCTCCTACAAGTCTCCTCTGTGCTTAGCACTGTTCTCTGTTGTCCACTGTGCTATGGATCGACATTCGTTGCTGTCAGTTCAGCTGCTGCCATCTTGTGTGACTAGCCTCATTTCTCATCAATTGTAGAGCCTTTGAGAACAAGTTGGAAAAATCACCATGGAGCTGGTAGGTAGCTGATTCCCTGGAGGCTACCAGGCTGTTCTTGCTTTTTTGGTGGTAGAGATTGAACCGAGGGTATAGTTACACTTCAGCCCTCAGCCACATGCATTTCTTTTCTCCCTATTTTCCTGAGAAAAAAAGGAGCACGTGAGTGATCCAAACTCCCACGGTGCTGAGAAACTTGCCTTGTCCTCCTAGCAGCTGACAGTGCTGCTTCCTCCAGGGAAGTTCCTGGTAGCTGGGTCTTAGCTTCACGGCTAAGGGCTCTCCTGTCTCTCCTGCTCTGTTGCTATGGGTTAAAGGGAAAACAGATTAAATATGATGTAACAAGTAGTGAGGTAGAATGGAGTTTTAGTTGAGGGAGAAAACAACAGAGTCAGCGTAGAGTAAGCCAAAGGTAGATTAAAGCAGTTTATCCAAAAATGGGGTCATAAACACAGTGCCCGGTGATTAGTTTTGTTTTGTTTCCCTGCACATCTGATGCCAGGCATCTCCTCTGCTGACTGGCAGTCTTATGTCTCGTTCTGTTTGTCTGGTGAGATACTGCCAATCTTAAAAGACTCGACTCAAATGTTCCCCACTTTATGAAGTCTTCCTTAATTTTCCTAACTTTCCCTGGGAATCTTATAGCACATTTTATTTTACTTTGATCAGAAAAAAGTAATAAAACACGTAAGATTTCATTTATTTGTTATTTTTATTTTATGTATATGACTGTTTTGCCTGCATGTATTTAACTGCACCACATTTATGCAATGCCCACAGAGGTCAGAAGAGGGTGTCAGATCCCCTGGAACTGGTGTTATGGATGGTTGCTAGCTGCCATGTGGGTGCTGGGATTCAAACCTGGGTCTCTGCAAGAGCAACCAGTGCTCTTAACTACTCAGCCATCTCTCTAGCCCCCAAGATTTCATCTTATAATTGATTTATGTTCTCCACTTTGCCCAGTAAATTGGAGGGTTAATGTCCCCCCACCCTGGACCTTTGTTTCCATATAAAATGTATATATATGTATTTAGTCAAAAAAAATAGTAACTAATAAATCAGTAGTTAAGCCACAGCCCCTGGAGTCACACAGCCAAGGCTGAAATTCTGTGAAAACTCCAGCAACTGACTCAACGTTCTTACCTGTAAAAATAAAAGGGCAATATGAATGATGCTCATTTCAAAACATTGCTGTGAGGATGAAATGGACTACTTTAACACAGTGCAGGAGTCTCACCATGTACTGGTAAACGTAAGCTACAGTTATTGTATGATGCATTGCAAGTGTGTTTTCTTTTTTTCCTTTTTACTTAATGTTACTTGTTATTTGCACATTTCCAAAGAAATTTTGCTGGGAATGAACAGTAACTCTAGTTTTGTCCTTCATAAGGTACGATGCTATTATTATACTCTTATGAGGGCTTTTTTCTAAAAATACTTAAAATTCTCTTTTAGTCCTCTCCACCTCACAGTTTTGTTGTTTTGTTTGTTATTTATTTATTTATTTATTTTTGAGATAGAGTCTCCATGCAACCCTGGCTAGCTTGGAACTTGATATGTAGACCAGGCTGGCCTTGATCTTACAGAAATCCATCCACCTGCCTCTGCCTCCAGAGTGCTGGGATTAAAGGCATGCACCACCATACCTGGTCCATCTCCCATTTTAAAAGCGGTGACTAAAGTAATATCTGGAAGTACAGGGTATTCATAGATTACTTAACTATGCTATTAAGTTGAAGTTAAATTTACTTCTGGGAGGCACTCACATGGCTTCCTCATCCCACAGTCTTTACAACAAACCGAGAAAATATTCCTCCAAACTACAGTTTAGGGAACAACAGGATTTATTGGGCTTGCTAACTGAGCATATGATGGCAGTGAGGGGTACTTACAAAGGTATGTACCCCTTGGGCCTTTTTTGCTCTGCATTTCCTCCCAGCTTTGGCTTCCTGAACTGCTGCTGCTGGCCAGTCCAAGATGGTGAAGTGCCTCCCTCCTCCTCCCGCTTCCCCTGTGTCTATCCTTAGTACCGCCCCTTCATGCAGTTAAGGCTGACTGATTGGGCAGGAGGGATGACTGTCTCCCTCTGCCCCTCCCCTCCTACTGAGAGTCTCATTGAAGCTAGTGAAAGGCATTGCTGGTCACACAGAGGACAATCTTAGCCAACATAAGTATAGAACAGAATAATTCAGGACAATCAGAAATAACCTGCATTTCCAGCAGTAGCAGAATGGTTATGTCATCTATAATGCTGCATAGAACAAAATGCAGCCATTAAAATGATTCCTGTGACAACTATGCAATGTTATAAAAGCATTCCTGATGTAAAGGTAGAAAGAAGCAATCGTGATATGAAAATATGAAAAATAAAACGTAGAAACTGTATACTATCCAAAGTGCTTACAGTGCCTGGACTTCAGTGGAGCAATTTTTATCCCGTTTTCATATTTTACAATGTAATTATTTTTATTTTATCATTAAAATAATATTAATAAACAAAAATAAATTGGTTGAAAGGACGTACGTTTCTTTTTTAAAATTTTTTTATTTTTGTATGAGTATATTGCCTGCAAGTATGTGAGTGCACCCTTGTCGTGCACCGCCACGGAGGTCACAAGAGGGCTTCGGATTCCCCTGGAACTGGAGTTAAGGACGGTTCGTAGCCGCCATGTGGGAAAGGAACCTGGTCCCCTGCAAGAGCAGTCAGTGCTCTTAACTGCTGAGCCATCTCTCCAGCCCCAGAAAGGATGAACGTTTCTAAACATTGTTGTCAGCTAGTCATCGATGGCCAGCACCCAGGGGAGGACTGCAGCCGGCCTCTGTGGGATTCTCTTCCTCAGGCTTGTTTCCTTTGGACTATGTTGGGGCCAAGGTTGAATGGCTTGGGATAGCTAATTCCTCTGCCATAGGAAGTGTTCATTTTCGTTCTACCTTTGCCTCCTTCCCACCAAGGTTCTAGACTCTAGGAAGTACTGAGCCTGGAGCCTATATGCTATATTAGATGATATATCATCTCTAGATCTAGATATATCTATCTAATACCTAGATATATCTAGATATATAGAATCTCCCTCCCTTTCTCTCCTCCCTCCTCATCCTCTCACCTTTCTTTTGGTGGTGCTGTGGATTGAACACAGGGACCATACTAGGCAAGTGATCCACCACTGAGCTATACCCCCAGCCTAATAAAGCTTATCCTGATTTCTTTTTCTGTCTTGGCTGGTAAGAATAGTTATAACTCATTTGTTAATTAGGAGTCTTGATTCATAGTGGACTTCAAAAACATCCCCCATACTTCTAGTCTGTTGCCCCTTTCAATGAGCTTTATTATCTACTTGTGGTAAGAATATTCCATAGTCTTATAATCTACTTGGGTGATTTAATTAGAGAAAATATCTTCATTGCTGTTGACATTTCCTTTCCTTTCTTTTTCAATAAGGCAGGAAATGTTTCGTGTGCCCTCAGCCTCTCCCGAGAGTTTCTTCTCTACAGTAAGTGAAATAAGACATAAACTGACAGTCTGTCTCATTTCTGCCCCTGACATTTAATCCTTGCAAATGAAGTACAGTTATTCTTATGAGTGGAGGGGTGTGTGTGTGTGTGTGTGTGTGTAGGTGCACATGCCTGTGCACATGCATGCACAGGGCAGAGAAGGACCCCATGTTCTTTGTATGTTATTTTTTGAGACAAGGTCTTTCACCGAGCCTGATGCTTCACTGCTTCTGACCTCCCAGCATCCACCCCTCAATGCTGGAATCACATGGCCATGTCCAGTTTTTCCATGGGTGTTGGGGTTTTGAACTCAAGTCCTCTTTCACAGCAAGCACTCTTACCTAATGAGCCATCTCCCCAGCCCCCAATTACCCTTTTTATTATTCTACTTTCATAAGCCAAGGGACATTTCTAATTTGAGGTGAAATCTTATTTAGACACAGATTACTGAAAGGGAAAAATTCGTAAGGTGGAAAAATGCTTAGAAGATGTCAACCTGCCCCTTCCTAACTTGTTCTTTCAATGGGAACAAGTCCAGGCTGGGAGCCAGTTTCTTCAGAGGCATCTTAAAGACCAGGTTTTGAAAAGAAACCCAAGAATGAATGGAATCAGTGTGCACTGTGTGTGTGAGAAGTGGGTGACTCAGAGGGTTATTCACTGACTGTTTACTGAGAGCTATCAGTTCTTTCCCTTAAAACCAAAGCTCACTTGGTGATGCAGGCTTCCTGCCCAGGCTGCAGAGTTCAGGTTCAGGCCCCCTGGGAATGCCTTGCCAACAGCAAAATGAGGAGCTGCTGCCTAGCTTGACCTGGATATTTTTGCTTAAAAATTTAATGGTAGATGGCTTTCTAGATTTCCCCTTAATAAATTATTTAGCTACTAAAATAAGATGCAAAAATTGCTGATGTAGGTGCACATGCCTGTGCACATGCATGCACAGGGCAGAGAAGGACCCCATGTTCTTTGTATGTTATTTTTTGAGACAAGGTCTTTCACCGAGCCTGATGCTTCACTGCTTCTGACCTCCCAGCATCCACCCCTCAATGCTGGAATCACATGGCCATGTCCAGTTTTTCCATGGGTGTTGGGGTTTTGAACTCAAGTCCTCTTTCACAGCAAGCACTCTTACCTAATGAGCCATCTCCCCAGCCCCCAATTACCCTTTTTATTATTCTACTTTCATAAGCCAAGGGACATTTCTAATTTGAGGTGAAATCTTATTTAGACACAGATTACTGAAAGGGAAAAATTCGTAAGGTGGAAAAATGCTTAGAAGATGTCAACCTGCCCCTTCCTAACTTGTTCTTTCAATGGGAACAAGTCCAGGCTGGGAGCCAGTTTCTTCAGAGGCATCTTAAAGACCAGGTTTTGAAAAGAAACCCAAGAATGAATGGAATCAGTGTGCACTGTGTGTGTGAGAAGTGGGTGACTCAGAGGGTTATTCACTGACTGTTTACTGAGAGCTATCAGTTCTTTCCCTTAAAACCAAAGCTCACTTGGTGATGCAGGCTTCCTGCCCAGGCTGCAGAGTTCAGGTTCAGGCCCCCTGGGAATGCCTTGCCAACAGCAAAATGAGGAGCTGCTGCCTAGCTTGACCTGGATATTTTTGCTTAAAAATTTAATGGTAGATGGCTTTCTAGATTTCCCCTTAATAAATTATTTAGCTACTAAAATAAGATGCAAAAATTGCTGATAGTCATAAAGTATTCCATGGAAGACTTTAAACTGCATTATTCATAACTGTTAAATAAATTTATGTACTGTGTTTTGTCTTCCATTTCTGTACCCATTAGTTTAACCAACTTTGCACCAAAAATATATGAAAAACAACTGTGTCTATAAAGAACATATATGGCCTTCTTTCTTGTCATGATTGTCTAAGTGATATGGTTTATGATTATTTACATACTTGTATATAGCATACTGCTTATATAGGACTAGGTATTGTAAATAATCTAGAAATGGTTTAAAATATGTGGGTGGATGAGCATAGGTTATATGCAAATACTACAATATTTTATAAAAGGGACTTGAGCATCTGTACATTTTGGTACCCACAGGGTCCTGGCATGAATCCCTTATGGATTCTGAGAGATGACTAACATTATTCATTTTTGATAATTTGACAGAGTCAGAGATGGAAGTCACTGGGTGGTCTGAATATGCATATTAGCTAACTTTTATTACATTTATTTATTTACTTACTTTGTGTGAGCATGCATATGCCAGGGCATACATGTGGAGGTCAGAGGACAACTTGTGGGAGTTCTCACCTTCCAATATATGGGTTCTAGGGATCAAACTCAGGTCCTTAGGCAAGCACTCTTATCTGTTAAGCCATCTCACCAGCCCTACACAAGTAATTAGCAGTATAAAGATTAAAAACCAGGGCTGGAGAGATGGCTCAGCGGTTAAGAACACTGACTGTTCTTGTAGAAGACCTGAGTACGAATCCTAACACCCACATGGCAGCTAACAACTGTCTGTAACTCCAGTTCCAAGAGATCCAACAGCCTCTTCTGTCCTCCGACAACTTCTTCTCTCCTCCGCAGGCATTGTACGACACAGGTGCACTTACCTATATGCAGGCACAACACCCATACAAATAAAATAAATAAAATATTTTTTTAAATCAACCTTCTTGTATTTATGCTTGGTCTATTAAAGTCTCTATCTCAGGAATGGAGAGATGGCTCAGTGAAAATACTGCCCATCCAAGGTCCCGAGTTCTGTTCCCAACACCCATGTCAGATGGCTTATAACCACCTGCAACTCCAGCTCCAGAGGATCTGACATCCTCACTCTCTTCTGGCTTCTGCAGATCTATACACACAAAACACACACACACACACATACACGCACACACACACACACACACACACACTACACAAATAAATCTTTTTTTTAAAATCTGTATCTCTCCCAATGCACCCAAACCGTGTGCTACTATAGGTGGATAAGTAGGCCATTGCTATTTACTTGGACTCATCATTTCCATTCTCCAAAGCTTCATTTCTCTTTTTGTTAGAAAGGAACAATAACTTCTGCCCTCCCCTTCCTCCTTTGCCAGGGCAGCGGTGGTTAGAAGCTCACTGGGCTTCTCACATACTCTGGAGCATTAGAATTCAGCCCTTTCTTCTGATAATCATACACAAGCCAGCAGGCCACAGGTAGCTGTCAGTTCATGGGCATCTTGTGTTCAAAGTAGTTAGAAAAGGTGGGCATAAGCAAGGCACAAGGTTTCCAGTTTCCTAAAGTCTAGCTTCTTTCTGTACCATACTGCTCTTCTCTGTAGGAATTTTAAAGGATTATTCTAGAGCATATAGTGGAGCAGAGAATGAATATGTTTCCAGTTCTCTGGAGGAGAACAGGGAGCTGGGGAGATGGCCCGGTGCGTAAGAGCACTTGCTACACAAATGTGAGAACCTCAGTTTAGATCCCCAGCACCTGTGTAAAAGCTGGGTGCTGGAAGGAATGGACAGAGAAAGGAGGGTTTCTGGAGCTTGCTGGCCCACCAGCCTGGCTGAAAAATGGTGAGTTCCGTGGTCAGGGAACTCCAGGGAATGAGGTGGACAGAAATTGAGGAAGACACCATATCTTGCTCTGGCCTTGGCAAATGCATGGATGGGCACACCACACACACACACACACACACACACACACACACACACACACACATATGCAAAATATATTAGAAGATCAGGTTGGGCCCTGTGTTAGAGGCGATGACTCTCTGAGCTTCCTTTCTTTTTTATGTATATTTTTATTGAATTTTTGTGCATTTAATACAATAAATCTTTTAAAATATTTTATTCTTATTATTTTTATTTTATGTGTATGAGTGTATTGTCTGCATGCATATAAGTTCACTTATGTCATGCAATGCCTGTGGAGGACAGAAGAGACTGTCAGATCCCCTGGAACTGAGTTACAGACAGTTGCTAGCTGCCATGTGGGCGCTGGGATTTGAACCCGGGTCTTCCTCAAGAACAGCCCCAGTGCTCTTAACTGCTGATCCATCTCTTCAGCCCCCACACAATAAAACTTAATCAATTTAGACCCCCTACCCCATCCTCACCATCCCATAGGCACCCCCACCAGATTTCATACATTCTGTCATACATGTTAAGGCCTATTCCTGTCATTACACTTAACTGTCATGTTTTCATGTGGTTATCAGATTCTGTGGTCTGGAAGGTCAATCTAGGCACAGAAGCTGGTATAGAACACATGTTCTTGAGCATTTAGATAAATGGACTGGTGATTGGGTGGGTGGGTGGATGGATGGATGAACGGATGGGCGGATGAATGGATGGATGGGGCTTCTTTCCTAACATCTCACGGTCCCCTGTCTAAGAATGTTAACAATCATCCTTCAGGTCTACCAGGCCCAGGTCAGTCTTTTTAATACTAGATGCTCTTCTGAGAGGAAGGGCACTGGCATGAGACATTACTTAAGGTGCCAGTCCTGTGTGACAGTGAAACTGCAGGGAATCTTGGTAGCTCTTCCTGGGGCCAGTGTGGATTAATCTGTGTTATTCCTTGTTTGGATTTCCCCCAGGCCCAAATAATAAGAGGATGGCCAGGAATGTGTTGAAATATGAAAGGCTCTTGGCAGACAGCCCTCACCAGGCAGCTGCCGAGACTGTCATGCAGAGGCCCAATGTGCCCCACCTGCAGACCAGAGACACATATGAAGGGTTATGCCAGACTCTGGGTTCCCAGGTAGGATTCCTCAAGGAAAGAAAAAAGGGGACTAGGGTTGGCTAGAGAGTGGGAGGCTAACATTGGGATAACCTGAGGGGAAAAGTTGATGTCTTAAAAACAATAAAGCTCACCCATACAACATCAGGGTGACTTTATCCTGTAGTATTTCTCAAATCCCAGCTGTTTATACCATGGTTCCTAGGAGCCTGGACCTCATTTCTTATTGATTCCACTTTTTCTTTCCAGCCCATTCACTACCAAAGCCCCAGCCTCTACTGTTCCTATGAGACCAATTTCAGCCCCTACCTGCTGCTCCAGCCCATCCGCAAGGAGGTCATTCACCTGCAGCCCTTTGTTGTTCTCTACCATGACTTCATCAGTGATGCAGAGGCTCAGAAAATTCGAGAGCTTGCAGAACCATGGGTGAGTGTTCCCAAAGCCCCATTGTGCCTCTACTTGTCTCGAGTTCAGGAGTGTGAGAATAGGTGGTTGGCATGGCCAGAACCTTCTTCAGTCCAGGAGGTTAAAATGCCAGCTATTCTGTAAGGGCAGTCAGTGGTGAGGCAAATCATGACAGTGTTTGCCTCTAATGGTAAAGGACAGAGAGGGGGTACCAGGGGATTTCCTAGGGTGTTCAAAATGTGCTGGCAATATCATCTTAGGGATGTGGAATACACAACTGTATGCATTTGTTAAAACTCAACAAGTATTGTGCTTAAGACCTGTGTGTATCATTGTATGTAAATGTGATCTCAGAAAACATAAAGAAGGGGGCTGGAGAGATGGCATAGCATTTAAGAACACTGGCTGCTCTTGTAGAGGACCTAGGTTTAGTTCCCAGCACCCACATGGTGGCTAACAACCATCCGTAACTTCAGTTCCAGGGACTCAGACTTTCTCTTCTGACCTCCACGGGCATTGCATGACATGAGTGCACTTACATACATGAAAGCAATGCACTCATACACATAAAATAAAAATAATAAATTGCCAGGTGTAATGGTGCATGCTTTTAATCCCAGCACTCAGGAGGCAGAGGCAGGCGGATCACTGAGTTCAAGGCCAGCTTCGTCTACATAGAGAGTTCCAGGCCAGCTGGAGGAGCTGCAGGGAGACCCTGCCTCAAAAAAGATCAAAATAATAATAATAATAATAATAATAAAAATTTTAAAAATAAAATATGAAGGAAACTTCCTAAATTGTCAACTCTTCCTTAAAATTAGTAGAAGAAAATAATTCAATAGTAACAAGGAGCGAAATCCTAGTACGTATTTACAGATGAGTAGATAGATTATCTGGTTCAATATCCATTAAAAAGCAAACTGAAGCAGAGGCAGACAGAGCTCTGTGAGTTCAAAGCCAGCCTGGCCTACATAGTGAGTTCCAGGACAGCTGGGGCTACAGGGAGACCCTGTCTCAAAAAGACCAAAAAAAAAAAAAAAAAAAAGGAAACTGAAGTCCAGAAAGGGGAACTGGCTTGATTAAGGTCATACATGGAGCTAGAATCATGATTGGAGTTTAGAGGAATGTGGACTGTCACTCTGTTGTTCCTTCTGTCAGTAAGCTCAGGCTAAGTTATGCTTGGTAACAAGCAGCCCTGGAACCTTGGAGACAGCAACAGTTTACCATATTATGTGTCTGTGCTGGGTTGGCTGCAGCTCTGCCCCATCTTATCTCTAATCTAGGACCCAACCTGGCAAAGCAGCCCCTGTTTGAGACTTTGTCAGTCTCATGGAAGTGAGGAAAAGACAGAAATGGCAAACATGAGCTGGCTTTTAAAGCTTCTGTCTGGAAGTGCAGACATTGCTTCTAGCCACATCACACAGGTGAAGGCAAAGCACCTGGTACACAGCAAAACGTGGAGGAGCCTGGTCTAATCCTTCCACAGGGAAGGCACAGCAGGTCACCAAGCCAGTGGGTGCCAGCGGGAAGGGATACTTCACTCCTAGGAAGTGTGGCAAATATTTGAAAAAAATAGTCCCTCTCATCTCTGTAAGTCTATTGTCTTTTCAAACATGGCACAATAATTTGGTCTCAGAATTATTTATTTCTGACTAGACATCATGTTCTTAATGTGTGCTGTTCATTCAGTGAGACATTTAGTCATTTATCAATGGAACACAGCCTGCCCAGACCAGATCCTGGCCTGGTACTTTTCTTTTACAAAGAGGTAAGGTACTTCATTACCTCTAGGAGCCTCTGTGTAAGGAGAATACAGTCTGCTATGACAGGACCTAAAGGGAGGGCAGGTAGGAGGGGATCCTGGGGATGAGAGGAGGGAGCAGGCTTCTTTCACTGAGAGTGAAGGCCAGGGTGTTCCATGGTATTCCAGAAAGACAAAGCCATATATTTCAAGGGCCTGGTAGGCTACATGTTGAGAAACTAGGGAAAAGCTTGGTGGCAAAAGTACACAAGGGACAGGGTGAAAGATGACCAATGATGGGACTAGACAGTAAGATACCATTAACAAAGGCCGTGGTTGAGAGTTTGGACTTTATCCTGGAGGTTGTAAGAGAGGCTGGGTTGGAGCGAAAACAGCAATAGTTGTTTCATCCAGAAGGTCCTCCAGGCAAGTCTGTTAGGTTTTTGTAGGTGATTAGCTCCAATGGTGGTGGAACAATGTGTTTTCAGTAGCCTGCTTCTCCTGGAGCCAGCAGCTGCATCTGGACAGCAGCAGCTTTTTCCTCACAACAGCTCTGTTGCCATGGTGATGAGACGGGGGGGGGGGGGCATCCAGAGATGTTCACCTACTCCTTCGCCATAGCGAAGTCATTCATTTGGCATGCACAGGCCTTGCCACACTCCCATCCCCAAGAAGCATCTTGATTGGAGTTGCTGATGCCTGTCTGGCCTGTGACTATTCCATGACTAAGCTGAGGTCTTGTGGGAGGGTGGCTCCCTAAGGTCCTGGAGCCCTTGTGGCTTGTGTGGGAGCTACCTGCCTCCTCTCCACTGTCCCTTTTCATAAGTTCTCCTAGCACTTCCCTCTCCATCCACCTCCTACCTGTCCTCCAGGACTCAGTTAAAACCCTGAATCTCCTATGGGGCCCAAAGGCCTGGTTACTGCTCTGGTTCTTTGAGTGACTGTGTTTTCAGAGCACTTTGGGGGCCCATATGCACTAAACTTCTTCCTCTGCACTCAAAGCTTTTGTTGCCAGCTCTATAGCATTTAATTTTTTATGTTTTTCTGCCATTTATAAGTTGGCTGGCATCACTAGACATTTTGGAGGTTAGCGTCCCATCTTCCCAACTAGGAAACTAGCAGACATCATGCCTTTCTGGAAATGCTTTTGCCCCATATAATGCTCATCAAAGCCAGAGTATTTATTTTTATTTATTTTTTTAATTTTTATTTTTTTAGAAGCATTTCGTTACAGCTTTAACATATTCAGTAACAATTTCCAGAGCAAGGATATATCTCTTTCAAAAGTGGCTATATTTATTTTCATGTGTATAGTGTATATACTTGTGTGTGTGCATGTGTACGCATGTGCACATGTGTATAGAGGTCAGAGCTTGATTTTAAGCCTCTTCCGCAATCACTCTCTACCTTACCTTTTGAGCTAGGTTCTCTCTCTGAACCTGGGGCCCATCTATTCACTAGGCTGGCTGGCCAATAAAGAATCCCCCTGTCTCATACACCCCACATTCTTCTTCCCCTGAGAGGGGTTACACATGCACATCTCTGCCCATGACTTTTTACATGGGTGCTGGAGAGCTGAACTCAGGTCCTCCTGCTCACAAGACAAGCACTTTACCAACTGAGCCATCTCCCCAGCCCCTTACTTTTACTTTCCTTTATTTCTATGTGTATGTTTTGCCTACATGTGAGTGCACCTGGGTATGCAGTGCTTGTGGAGACCAAAAGAGGGTGTCAGATCCCCTGGAACTGGAGTTACAGATGGTTCTTAGCCAACATGTGGGGTGCTGGGAACTGAACCCAAGTCCTCTGCAAGAGCTCTTAACCACTGAGCCGTCTCTCCAGCCCCCACATTTTTATTTTTTGAGACAGGTTTTGCTATGTTGCCCAAGCTGGTCCCAAGCTTGGGCAATGGGACCCTCCCATTTTAGCCCCCTGAGTGTTGAGCCTGTATGAGAGTGTCACAGTACCTGCCCAGACTAATCTTTAAAGGTCAGCGTTGGCTTCCTGAACCCCTTGCTTAAACTCTTGAATGACCACACGGCTCTGCCACCTGGCTGTTGGTGACTCCTTACATGTTTCTTTGCCCTCAACGTTATGGCTGCATGTCTTTTCTCTGGGAATAGGCCACTCTTTCTCTATCTTTCCCTTCTGCCTAGAACACACTCCTCTTGACTCCTTTAACCTGTATGATTACAGCATGCCTTGTGGACATTCTGGGATGGCTCCCTGTGCTTCATAGGAAAGGGTTAGACACCTGTCTCTGTATCACCATAGCATCCTCTCCTTGCCCCAGGATGGCACCATTAGATGGTCTACAGATAAGGACTTTGTATGGTTTAATATATTGTTTTCATAATGTCTGGCACAGTGCTTAGCATCAATAAAATATTTGCTCAAAAAATGAGTGATTGGTATGCAGACAACAATGAAAATATTGTTAAAGGAATTGGGAACAAAGTAGTTCTTTAATGGAGGGGGGGGGATCCTAGAATTTTTTGAGCCATTGATTTTGCTCTAGAATAGTAAAAGAAAGCATGTCTTCATGAACCTCTCCCCTATGGCTGTTTCAGGAAAGGACAGAGGCACCATCAGCCACCTGAATTCCTACATCCCAGTATTGTAAAACAGCAGGCCAAGACCTCTCAAAACATGCTGTTGTGATGTGCTTACAGATAGGGAAAGGGGTCCAAGGAAAGTGTTTCCAGGATGGTCTGCCTGGTTTAGCAGCAGGAATGGCTGCTTTAGAGGAGGGGAGGCTATACTCAGTTCAAGAAGGGAAAGGTCTCATTTGTACACAATCCGTTGCCTGCCTCTGCTCTCATTGCTGGAGGTGGCGATGGGGGTGATCCTGGCAGTGCCTTTCAGTGCAGGGCCCAGCTTCATGCATTCAGCTGTCCATTTAACTAATACTGAGCATCTACTGGCAGAACAAGTCCGTCCCTCACAGAGCTGATACTCTGATAACAGAGGCAGAAGCAGACACAGCATCGGGTAAATAAATAATGCTTTTTTTCTGTCTCTTGAACAGTGAGTTTGCAATAAGGAGGTGCCTTTTAAAAACATAATTTAAATGCTCTATATACACACATTCAGAATGAAATAAAAACAGTTAAATTTGTGACTTCAGTCCTGTTTTTTCATAAGTCATGCAGCTGCAGCTTAGGAAGGGCTTTGGTTAGAATGCTCAGGAGCAAGTTCTGAGTGTAGGCCTTCTATTGGAGGTTTCATTTGATTTGAAAAAACACCAAGTGTTTTCCCTAGCTCAAGCCCTGGGTCTGACACTGAGATACAAACAGACACGAGAAATGGCTTTGCTCTTCCCCAAATCAGTATTGCAAGCACGAAAGAGATTCAAACATCGGTTTATTTCAGTTCAACCAATCTCTACTGAGCGGGTCCTTTTAAATAGTCACAATGCTAAAGACTACTTTGAGCGCTAAGATTTTTAGTCATTTATTTATTTTTTTATTTTCAAGATCAACAGCCATCACTAATTAGTACTGTGTGCAAAATACCCTTTAGCAAGCAAGGAACTGGTGATTGTTATGTCTGCGCTTCAGAGAGGGGCATGCCTGTGGACATGGACTTTGTTTTGCCCTTCCTTCCAGCTCCAGAGATCAGTGGTGGCATCAGGGGAAAAGCAGTTACAGGTGGAATATCGCATCAGCAAAAGGTAAACAGGGTCATTACTGGCAGCAATTCCTTCGGGGGCTGAGGGCTTGGCAGAGTGCTGGGTCAGAAACGACCTTTCAGGGATCTCCTGAGAACCTGTAGTTCATGTTATCTAAATCCATATGTTCTTCATGAGTGAGAACGTTTTCATCCCCTCACCCAGCAGCCTTCATCAGATTATTATATCATCTGAAGAATTAACAAGGAGGGGGCTGGAGAGATGGCTCAGTGGTTAAGAACACTGGCTGCTCTTGCAGAGGATCCAGCTTTGGTTCTCAGAACCCAAATGCCAGCTAACAACTGTCCATAATTCCAGTTGCAGGAGATCTAATGCTCTCTTTTGACCTCCTTAGGCATTGCATGGCACAGGTGTACCTACATACATGCAGGCAAAACATGCATACATAAAAAAAAGAGAATTAATGAAGAGACCACTAGGAAAAGACTTTGCTGGGGGACTCTCCTCTTTCTGAAAGCAGAATATAAGCATCTGGTTGTTCTTCTGCCCAGAGAACATGCTCCTACACACATTTGTAATTTGGCCTTACAGACTGTCTTCCAACCTCCTGACTCACATACAAAGCATGACTTGACATCATGCAGGCAAACGGTAGGAATGGAGGCCCTGGGGCTGCTGGCTCCTCCAAGGAGTAGCTCCAGTATGGGCTCCAGACCCACCCTCCTTATCCTCTTCTCCATCCCCACCCCCATCCATAGCCTTTTAGTTGCACAGTGAAGACCAAACTGGGGAGACAGTGAGAGAGGGAAATGGCCATCAAAGCCACATGGGAAAGTGATATCAGCATACTGGAGAAGGGCTAGATCTCAGGGGGCTGGTCTGTGTCATCTGGGAAGAGAGGCAAGAGATAAAAGCTCTGATTCAGTTATTTGGGTTTAGTTTGTTTTGTCTGGTATATCTAGGGACTGTGTTAGCTACTTTTCTTATTGCTGTGGGCCACTACGTAAAAGAGACGACTCTTACGTCATTTTGGTTAATGGTTTGAAGGAATACCGTCCATCGTGGTAGGGAGGTTGTGGTGACTGGTGGCTCCATGGTGGCTGGAGGGGTCGGTGAACCTCTTTACCTTCTTATATCTCAGTAAAACAGGAGGCAGGGACAGAGGGAGGGCTGGACACATAGCTAGGCTATAATTATCAAGGCCTACCACCCCTCCCACCTCCCAACCCCCACTTCTACAAGCTCCCAAAATAGCACCAAGAGTTGGGAATTAGGAATTCAAACACATGAATCTATGGGGGACATTTTCCTTCCAAATCATAATAGGGACAGTTCACAATTGGGGATATTCAGAATCGGGGGTATTCTCTAAATTTTGAAATGTCTGTGAAACCTTACCTTTATTGTTTGTTTGGAGGCAGGGTGTCCATGTAGCCCCAGCTGGCCTGAAACTCACTATGTAGACCAGGCCAGCCTCAGTCTCACAGAGATCTGCCTGCCTCTGCCTTCCCAGTGCTGGGATTAAAGGCGTGTGGCACCAGGCCCAGATTTGTTCTAAATTTTCTGAAACTGCAGGGTCAGAGAGAAAATTCAACCTTCTGTCTAGCTGCGTCACTTTTAGTGGCTAGGTGGTATTTTTCTTACTTTTCTGACCAAACTACCTCTTTCTCCCCTCACTTCATTCTTCAACCATTTGAATTTTGATTCTGTCTTTATAACTTCACTGAAACTGGTCTCTTAAAAGTTACTAGGGGCCAGGTGTGGTGCAAACACCTGTGATTCTAGCAGTTAGAGGCAGAAGGATAGTAACTTCAAGGCCGGCCTAGGCTAGCAAGACCCTGTCTTGAAACAAAAGCAACTTGAGGGGTGGCAAGATGGTTCAGCAGGTGGTTGCTTACTGTGCAAGCCTGATGTCCTTCGAGCCCCAAAATCCATGTAAAAGGAGAAGGATAAAAATGACCCCACAAAGTTGTCCTCCGACCTCTACATGCACACTGACCATCGTGCCCACCTCATCATACACAGAGTAATAACAAATAATTCCAATGTGTGGACTTTTGGGGACCCGGTCAAGCCATAGCGACCTGCAGGTTGAAATCCAGGCTCTTTAGCTTGTGTGCTCATCTTTGTGCATCTGGCCCTGCACCTACTCTTTCAGACTTTTCTCTGCTTGCTCCTCTCACAGAGCAAGTGTGTTAGTGTTTGTACACCCTACGTAGCCACACCGCCATGTTTGTTCTTGAACTCTCAGGCTGCAATATCCCTCCTTTTCCATCTATTGAAATGTATACACCTTTCAAATTTCGCCTAAATACCACCCAAGCGCCCAGGTGAAATTAACTTCTCCTTTCTTTCCTCCCCAATACCTCAAATTCTATTTTTCTTTTTTTTACTCTAATTTTTTCCTTAGTTATGCTTATGCTTTTCTTCTTCGAAGGCAGTGGCTAGCTTTATGCTGAGTATCTCTGCAAACCCAAGGGCATGTAGCTTAATAAGTTGAATGTAATCTACACAGGAAAATGAACCCATCATCTACAGAGCAAATATGTGAGCTTCCAATACACACCGAGGCTCTCCCCTCAGAGGCTCCATGCTGTTCCCGGAAGTCTGGGGCTTTGTTTAGGGAGCATGACCTCATTTTTCCAGGGACCTAGGTTCTGATTCCCAACTTTCTACTTTGTCAGAACTTCAAAATGTCTATTCAGGGAAAGAATCTGAGCTAAGCTTTGACCTGTTCCTGGGTGGCCCAGAGCAGAACCAGAGAGCTGAGACCTCCCCGGCATCACATCTCCATAAGTGTTTCTTTCACAACCCTCACAGTCTTGGACTCACTCCTGTGTACAGAGGAGCTCACTGGCCTTTAGAGAGATTAAAGGTTAAGTACTGACAGCATCATTCAGAGATGGAGAACTGGTATTATTACCTGAGTTTCTCCCCGTCCCTCTCCCTTTCCACTCTCCCTTCTTTGGCTGGTGGATCAGGGTTGGTTGGTAGATCAGGGTCTTGCTTTGAACTCCTGGGTTCAACCCACCTTCCTACAGCTTCCTGAGTGCTGGGCACATATCACCATACCCAAGGTCATGGCTCTAAATCCCAACTTTCCCCATGGCACTCTGCTCCCACTGTTGGAGATGTTTTAACTCAGCAGTTTTAAGGGTGGGTTTTTTTCATCTTCTTTGAGTCACCGTTGGGTGCTATGAACCTTTACTCTGTCAGCTCAACACTAGCCTTAGAGAATGTTCGCTGAGTGAATGATGTGTCAATGTTGAGACAGGAGACCAAGTGGATTGAGGTGACCTGATATACAGATGTGTAAGTGATTAGGCATTCACAGCTGCCTCCCTCCCTTCCTCTGGCAATTGAATGATTTATTCATTCATTCACTCACTCACAGACATCATATAGTTGTTTCCAATATCAGATCACTGATGCTACAATCTTTGCTATATTTTAGTGCCTGGCTGAAGGACACCATTGACCCAATGCTGGTGACCCTTGACCACCGCATTGCTGCCCTCACAGGCCTTGATGTCCAGCCCCCCTATGCAGAGTATCTCCAGGTGGTGAACTATGGAATCGGAGGACACTATGAGCCTCACTTTGACCATGCTACGGTAATGATGGGGTGGGTCAATGATCTTTCCTAGGGTAGGGAGCCTGCACATGATTGCTCAGAGGCAGAGCTCTGGTAGGCTGTCAGGGAATACTAAGTAAGTCTTAGAACAAAGGCTCTTGTTCCAGGAATATCTGAAAGTCTCAGTTTCAATTGATTGCTGCAAATTCGTTTTCTTATCTGCCACCATCCTTCTCACCAGAATTTTCTGGTGGGAGAAGAATGTGGCCCGTAACGGAATCATATCTCGGAAACTTTCCAGTCAACTTCATGATCTCAACTGTCCACCACTGCTCACAACAGCAAATAATTTTTGAGGATTAAATGATTTCCCCAAGAAGGAACCATGATCAAAACATGGAAATGTCACAGTGACACCATTAACATGATGTGTTGATAATTTTTTAAATGAGCAAAAACCTTGGGATATACAAATGACCAATAAATATATGAAAGATTCTCAACACCACAAGGTAAAAAAATACCTCCTTACAATCGAGCTATAGATTCAGCCCCAACTTTATCAAGATTCCAAGAACCTTAAAAACAGTATACAAGGGACATGATTCAGTGGGTAAAGTGCTTGCCATGCAATCATGAGATCCTATGTTTGATTCCCTGGTACCCACATTATAAAACAGGTAGGGTGCAGCAGCATGCCTTATTCCCAGTGCTCTAGGGTGAGGTGGGAGGAGACTCTCTGGAAGCTTGTGGGCCAGCCAGCCTGGCGAATTCAGCAATGAACAGCAAAGAAACTGTCCACCAAGTGGAAGAGGAGGACCTACACCCAAGATTATCCTCTGACCTTCACATGACTGCTGTGGCATGTTTGGGTCTGCACACACACACATACACACACACACACTCATGTAGAAGAAGCCAGCACAAAGGCTGCATATTTTGTGATTCTACATGAAATTTCTAGAAAAGACAAAACAAAAGAGACAGAAAATAGATACCTGGGTTGCTTGGAGTCAAGTAGGAATTGATGATAATACTTCATCAGCAGATGGAAATGCTCTAAAACTAGATTGTGGGAATTGTACAATTGTTAAAATTTGGTAAAATTCATCAGACTGTACCTACAATGAGTGAATTTTATGATATATAAGTTATATTTCAGATTGTTCCTTGACCAAAAAAATGAGTATGTCTCTTGGGTAAACAATTTGGACTGCCAACCTTATAATTTGATATTTCTGCAGAACAATGTTCTTCTATATTTTATATATTAATTTCTTTATTTTACAAAAAAACTAAAGTGCAATTCACCCATTATATAATTTTCTCACTATTGGTAAACAGTTCTATTTGATTTGTTTAGAATTTACTCGTGTGCATCTCTGATAAATTAATGCCTAACAAAAAAGGCATATTGAGTGCCTGCTGGCAAAAATGAACGCCAACTTCACTGAGGGTTACATTCTATCACTGCTGCCCCCGTTTTATCCCTTTCTATATTAATGTAAAGCCTAGCTGTCACTCATTGTCATCTGCATGAAATAACCATCATTCTACTTTTCTTTCAGTCACCACACAGCCCCCTCTACAGGATGAAGTCTGGGAACCGCATTGCGACATTTATGATCTATGTGAGTCTTGCTCTGGCAGGACCAGGGCTTCTTACTCAATGACTAATTGTATGCTTTTATTTTATAGTTTTCAAAGTAATTTCATGTATTGATTTTATCTGATTCTGAACATAAAAATCTCCAGGAAGTTTGTGAATTTTGAACAGCATTTTTTTTTTTTGTTAGGTACTGTGAGAGACATAAGGGAATTCAGGGCAGACTTCCTGTCCTCAGAGAGCCTGCAGTGTGCAGGTCAAAATCTGACCTTGTTGCCGGGTGTGATGGCACATGCCTTTAGTCCCAGCACTCAGGAGGCAGAGGCAGGCAGATTGTGAGTTCAAGGCCAGCCTGGTCTATATAGTGAGTTCCAGGCTAGCTGAGGGAGACCCTGTCTCAAAAAGACCAAAAAAAAAAAAAAAAAAAAAAATCCGACCTTGCCTAGACAGTGATTAGGATGGGGAGGGGCAAGAGAATGCAGGACTTGAACAACACTTGAAAGAGATACAAGAATCCCACTCTCTTTTTTCCACATTTAAAAATTTTTTATCATGTGTATGAATGTATTGCCTGCATGTGTGTAAGTGTACCCATGTTGTGCAATGTCTGTGGAGGTCAGAAGAAGGTCTTGGATCCCCTGGAACTGAACTTATGGATGGTTGTTAGGTCACCATGTGGGTGCTGGGAATTGAACCTGGGTCCTCTGCAAGAGCAGCCAGTGCTCTTATCTACTGAGCCATCTCTCCAGCCCCCAAGAATCCCACTCTGAAAAGCAGGGGCCCAGGAGTGAGCCTGTGGTGCTGAGGGAGAAAGAGAAGAGAAACGAAGCAGCTCCGACTATGAAAGGAAAAGAGCAGAGAGAAACAGAGAAAGTCAGTAAGTGCCTCTGATACGTAGTGAAGATTCTTCCGCTTCACACACACACACACACACACACACACACACACACACACACTCCTCAGTAAAACCATCACTCCACATTCTTCAGTAACACAGTAACAATTGGCCTCCTGAGTCCCAGTCTGGTCCCTCGGGATTCTGCCCTAGTCTAGCATCCTTATTCACTTCCCTTCAGGCTACGTGGGGATAATTCCTTCTCCACAAACTAGCCATAATTCCAACCTATCGCTTAGGAGATACCATTAGAAGCAATTGCTTTTTTAGGAGAGATTTATTACTGCTTCTTGGCCTTTTGGCTAAGATCAAGTGCAGAAGAAACTAATTACCGTTAGCCAGTGGGTAAAGATGTTCACTGTGAGGGCCCAAACGAAGGCCTGGCTTCAAGCTCCTTGGAGTAGCAGACATTCCCCATGGAGTGTTCTCTTCCATGAGGGCTGGACCTGGTGTCCACAGTATAGCCAAGCAGGGCAATCAGAGGCCGGCACTCTGTATTATCTCTCTACCAATGACACCAGTGTCTCCCAGTGGCTCGGCTGTATATTTCCAGTAGTAGAGGCTGCCTTTAGAAGTCATTCTGATCAGGCACAAGGGGCAACTGAAATCAGCTGTCAGGAAGAGAGCACATCTTAGCTCTGTAGTTGGTTGCATCATGACCATCATGAAAGGTCACAGGCAGTGAAGAATGTAGAGACCAACAAAATAACAGGAGCATCCAGGGCCAATGCAGCTTTGCTTAGCTCCCCAGTATCTCCTGTAGCTGATTCCTGGTAATAGAAAGCCACTTGCTAATGAGGACAGCATGGCTATGAGAACATAGAAATTTTATTATTTTATTTATGTGACACTGGAGATGGAACCCAGGGCCTTATGCATGCTAGACAAGCGCTTTACCACTGAGCTACACCCCCAGCCCAGCAGTTATAAATGGTAAGTGTGTGTGTGTGTGTGAGGGAAAGTGCATGTGGGTGCACTTGAGTTTCAGGCATTAAATGAAAATGTACTTTGGTTTTGGAGCCAGTCAGCCTAATCCTGATTGTGCTGCTACTCTGGTGCCGTAGCACAAATTACATCAATGATCTGAGCTCATCTTCTTGTCCTGTGCTCTCCACAGGGTTGTTGTGAGGACAGCTTGTAGGAAAATGTCATTCTAAAAAGTGTCATAGAATGCTGCTTGTCATCGTAGTAAGTACAGTGAAGGACCCCACAAGGCTAATGAGTGTTGTGGAGACCTGAGAAGTGCTCTGTTATGCCAAGTTCCTCCATCTTCACATCGAATAGAGACCGTCAGAGATTTCTCAAGCTATTGTTGAGGTTTGTAGGAAACATGAGCAATATTGTAGGGAGAAAATACTCTTTAAGAAGTGCAGAGGATCAAGTTGAAAGCAAGTTAGTGATTTCTGCTCAGACAGAACCTAAGAGTCATCCAGATATGAACCAGTAGAAGGTAGACAGCAGGAAGATCCCCCCTCCCCTGAACACAGGGAGCAAATTGATGTTCTCATTGGCCTTGAAAGTGTGCAGACGGTCAGGGGGAGTAGGGAATGCTTAGAAGCACCATCACCATTTCCAGGTTCTGAATCACCAGGTCATTTCCATTTCCTCTAAGTGCCAGTATCCTGACTCCTATAGTTCTTGCTCTGTAACACACATAAATATGGTGGAGTTTGATTGCCACAGGATTAAACACATGAACTTTCCAGTGTTGTAGACAAGCAGGATAGAACTAGTTATCCTGTGTCATGTGGCTGGTGAGAAAGTGCCATGTATCAGAAATGTACTTATGCATATGCTAATATGCTAATGCTAAGCTGGAATTCTTTCCTATGAAGACAAATCAAAATGAGGAAATAATTTCATTCATTAAGATATCCAGTGAAGTGTTGTTTATAGTAGTAAATATTTGAATTTAATAGTGAATATTTGGAATAAATGTGTGGCATAAGGTTTATGAATACAGTCTTTGGAGCCAGATAACATTGGCTCAGCTCAAATCCTGACTTTGTCTGGAAAGAGTTATGTGACCTTCTGCAAAATCCTGAGATGTGATTTCCTCATCCATAAAATGTGAATAATAATAATTCTAGGATTCTATGAAGATTAAGTGAGATAATATATTTGTAAGGACTTAGTGTAATGTCTTTCATGAATGCCAATTATTGATCAGTGCCAACTATGACTGTGTATTCTTTTCTGGATGATAAAATGATATGTGATATTATTTTTAATATCTTATATATGTCAAAAATGTTTGTATTATACATTTATTTGAGAATCAGAAAAGAACTTTGTATTAAGAGAACATATTTAACCAGGCGTGGTGGCACATGCCTTTAATCCCAGCACTTGGGAGGCAGAGGCAGGTGGATCTCTGTGAGTTCGAGGCAAGCCTGGTCTACAGAGTGAGTTCCAGGCAGCTGGAACTACAAGGAGACCTGTCTCAAAAAGACCAAAAAAAAAAAAAAAAAAAAAAAAAAAAAAAAAAAAAAAAAAGAGAACATATCCAGAGCTGGGGAGATGGCTCAGTCAGGAAAGGGTTTGTCAGGGAAGTATGAGGACTAGAGTTTGCTCCCCAGATCCTATGTGAAAATCCAGGTATGGAGACCAGTGCTGGGAAGGCAAGGACAGGAGGATCCTTGGGGCTCTAGGTCACATGGCAAGTTATAGGTCTGTCTCAAAAAACAAGGTGGACAGCACCTGAAGCATGACACCAGAGGTGGTCCTTTGGCCTCCCTATGCACACATGGGTATATACCCCTGGAAAGAGAGAGAGGGAGAGGGACAGGGAGAGGGAGAGGGAGCGGGACAGGGAGAAGGGAGAGAGAGAGGGAGGGGGAGGGGGAGGGAGATAGAGAAGGAGAGGGAGAGAGAGAGGGAGAGGGAGAGAGAGAGGGATTTCAAATACTTGGCAAGGGAGCTCTACCAGCCTTTGCACTATATTTCCTGTCCATGAGGAAATTTATTCAACAAATGTCTGCCAAGTGCCAGGAGTGTGCTGAGTCATATGCTACATGCTGGGATGCAAAGATGAGTCAAAATTATGTATTCTCTTAGGAATTTCTCAACTTAGGGAGATGGACACAAGGAGCAAACTTCAAAAAACATGGAAAGTACTACGATGCTGTCACAGTTGATTGACAGCAGACTTATAGAAGAGTGGTCATTTAGTTTGCTAGATTCCAAGGAATAGTGAAAGTCAATAAACAGTTCTTATGATGCCCACCATTTTTTACTGTGCTACTCAGAGAGAAATAAATTTAACCAAAAAAAGTGTAAGGGGCTGGAGAGATGGCTCAGTGGCTGAGAGCAGGTACTGCTCTTCCAGAGGACCAGAGTTCAGTTCCCAGCACCCACATCTGGGAGTGCACAACTGCCTATTAACTCCATCTCCAGGGGATCTGATGCCCTCTTTTGGCCTCCAAGAACACCTGCATTCATGTGCACATATACTCACAGATAAACACCCATATACATAATTTTAAAATAAATAATAAATCTTTAAAATGTTTGAACCCTTTTAAAAAATATTTTACTATTTTTTATTTTATTTTATTTTGTGTGCATGAGTGTATTGCCTACATGTATGCATGTGTACTCATGTTGGGCAATGCCCACAGAGGTTAGAAGAGGGCATTGAAGCCTCTGGAACTGGAGTTACAGATGGTTGTAAGCTGCCCTGTGGGTGCTGGGAACTGAACCCGGGTCCTCCACAAAAGCTGTCAGTGCTCTTAACTACCGAGTCATCTCCCCAACCCCCAAAATGTTTGAATTCTACTATTCTCTATAAAGATGGTAGTTAGAAATGAAAAGAAAGGGGGAATTCCAGAGTTTCCTGCAGCAAGCAGCCCCACACCAGTCCCTGTGCCCTTGCAGAGGGTCCCTGAATTTGGAAGGTAGATGACTAGATTTCTCCCAGGGCTGAAACAGGGGAGCCCAGCTGTGAATCTGTGCAGAAATGACCTCAGATGACAAGTTCATGAGCACATGACAGAGAAGGAATGTCAGTAGCTATTTTAATTCTGGCTTCTTCCCCCTTCATGATAGCTGAGCTCTGTGGAAGCTGGAGGAGCCACAGCCTTCATCTATGCCAACTTCAGTGTGCCTGTGGTCAAGGTGAGTGGGGCCTGGCCTAGAAGATGGAGTGGTGTCAGTGTGTGATGGCATAGAACTTACCCCTCTCCTTCATGCTGTCAGCTTGCAAGCTGATGATGGAGGGACTAAAATAAGATCTTTCTTGAATCCTGAAGATAATTCCCCATTCTTGTCACCATAACACATTACCGTGATTTGTTAATTTTTAAAAATATTTTATGTGTATGAGTATTTTGCCTACATGTAAGTGCACCACATGCATGCAGTGCTCACAGAGGCCAGAAGAGGATGACAGATGTCCTGGAACTGGAGTTCTAGAAGGTTATTAGCTACCAGGTGGATGCTGGGAACTGAATCTGGGTCCTCTGCAAGAGCAGCTAGTGCTCTTAACTACTGCGCCATCTCTCCAGCCCCTTATTGGTTGTTTTATTCTCATGTTACAAATAGACGATCACATGCCTGTCTTCCCTGCCACCTCCAAGCTCCTCAGAGGTCAGAACTCTGAGTCCCCTTCAGCTCCTCCTCTGCAGCCAGTTCCCACAGGCTCAGTTCTGTCCACCTCAGAAGGTTCAAAGCAAGGCTCACAGCCCTGTCCCCAGAGCTCTCCAAGAACAACAGTGGTGACACCAGACTACAGTGTCGGCTATGGGAAAGATAAGCCAGGGGAGAACAGTGATGAGAGGTTTGCTTAGTGTGTGAATATTTCCTCCATGTTTCAGATGGATCAAACACCCTGGCGGCCCTCAGTGACTCAGGAAGGAAATAAAGGGAGTGTCTCTAAAGTACTTTGCCCCGTGCCTGGTACAGGAGGAGCACTCAGTGAGCCCATGTCTGTTGTCTTTGAATGCCCAGGGCCTGGGTGCCTAGGCCAGTATGCCTTTGTTATCTCAGGCTCCATCTAGTCTAATGGCCATGGTTAAAGGGAGTCATGGGGAGAGCAAAAGGAAAAACAGTGCCTGGAGTCAGAACCTGGGGGCTTGCTTTGCTTCTGTTTTATGATTTAAAGGCCCTGTGTATCTCTGTGAGCGCAGGGGTTATGGTGACATCTACTTTGTAGGAGTTAGTAGGGAGTGCCTAAGGAGGCATATGCTTCTCAATGAACAAGGCTTAGATGTTCCACCCTGTGGGTTTCTTGGGCATCTGACCTCAGTGACCCCATGAGCTTGCTCTCTGTGTTCACCACCTGCCCCGGTCTCAAGAGAGACGGAGCTCCCCACAAGCAGAGCTGAGTGTGATCTGCCTCTGCATGCCTCAGGCCTGGAGCAGAGCAGACCTCACGTTAACGCCTGAGTGACCAAAGAGCAACTTTAGCTCTCTTGTGCCTCTCAGTGCCTGCTTCCTGCAAAGAGCATGGAGTCTCCTTATTTAATGACCTGAACAGGGTATCCTTGGCCAGACGTCTCCCAAAGAACTGAGATTCCGAGCTGACACTCCACACTCACCTGGGGCTGGGCCTCTTGTCCTCAGAACGCAGCCCTGTTTTGGTGGAACCTGCGCAAGAGTGGAGAGGGGGATGACGACACGCTTCATGCCGGCTGCCCTGTTCTGGTGGGAGATAAATGGGGTAAGGCCTGCCATTGTGGGTGAGAAAGTGGGGTGACGGGTGCAGAGAGAAAATGAAATGGGGAGCCCCTTCCAAAGGCTTCATGGTGTGGTGTGTACCAGTGACATGACTGGATAACCAATCAGGTGTCCCCAATGATTGGGGCTGGTGAAGAGCAAGGGACCTGGTCCAGAGTGGTTGTCCGCAAAGGTTTACTGAACTAACCAAGAGGCTCGATTCCTGAGCACAGAGGAGAGGCATGAGGTACTGCGTCCTTTCCCTCCCTCTGCATCAAGATGAGAACCATCTAACCTGCTGCTGCCATTTAGCTCCACCTCCTGGGAGGGGACAGAAGAGAAAGTAATGGACAGCAGTGGACAGGTGGGCATGTTCATGGCAGATGGGCATACTCATGACGGCGGACATGTTTCTGGCATGTGTGTTCACCTAGCTCTGAATCCAGAAAGAAAAATGGAAGACAGGTTTGTGACCAGGGGGAGCTGCCCTTCTCTCCTGATAACTTACCAGTTGGGCTTTCAGAATGAAGGGTGTGACCCTAGTGTCATGCATATGGAAGTTAGTTTCCAGTTGACTGTGATCTGTTGGTGTTTTTCTGGAGGCTGATGTGCTTATCTCCAACAGAAGCAGCTGTTTGTGATGCACAGTGGGGCTGGGACTATGGTGGGCATGTCAGCAGCTGCGTACAGGACTTCAGGCTGTGGGTGCACTATGGCCCTGTGCCTGCTGAGCCCGCTCTGTCCCTCCCTGCTCTCTTCCAGTGGCCAACAAGTGGATACATGAGTATGGGCAGGAATTCCGCAGACCCTGCAGCTCCAACCCAAAAGACTGAAGCACTGACAGAGAGCTGCTGTGGAGGCCTATGGGTCACCAGAGAAGCCAGGAGCCAAAGCCAGCAGAGAGGAGAGAGGAGCACAGCCTCCCGGAAGAAGGCCTTGTAACGAGGTCTGGTTCCTTGCAAAGAGGGGGCAAGGAATGGAACCCCCAAAAGTTTGCATTTGTTTCTACTCCAGCCATGAGAGTCAGAGCAGAATGGACATTGCAGAAGAGGGCTAAGGAACACGTTTCTAGTGCTCAAACACTGTTGGACATACCATGCTGGGGGATGCAGCTTGGCTAATGAGTGCCTTGCTTATGTAGAGCCTTGGATTCTATTATACACACACACACACACACACACACACACACACACACACAAATTTGGAAATAGAACACTTCGTCTGACTTCTACTGAAACCCAAGCAGAATGTGTCTGACTCAGAGATCTCCACCACCAGTGGGGTTTATCATGATGATTTCTTTTTTTAGAGTGGAAAGCAACTTTTTCTTTCTTATGATTTTTTAAGTCATTAAAATGTTTATAAATCACCTTTACCCACTGAGAATATTCTTCCATAGTGCTGTGTAACAAAAAGCAGAGTGATGTTACTGATTGTATATTCTGGCAGCGCGCTTGCCTCCCACCCCACAGAGCTGCAGTGTGGGCGGCCGCCTTTGCTCCCCCTTCTCCAGCTTCCACATTTGCTGTCCCTCCAGGTCCTCACAGCTGGGCTCTTTTCCTTGTTCCAGTCCAGGCGATGTCCCTTCAGAGAGGCCGGCCCTGAGCACCCCACTTCTAGCCTCTCTCTGTTATATCAACTTTATTTTCTCCCTAATGCCTCTGTGAATTGAAATTGTATTACTTTGTTGATCTCAGGCCAGCTGCCTTCCTAGCAGGCGGATGCTTTGTGACTCCCTCTTTTCTGTAGACGCCTCTGAGGGCTGCCGCTCACCGCATCTCCACACTTGTTCATTTGCCAGGCTGCTTACACTGGGCTCTCAGGATCCCTGGAGGGACTGGTTCCAAATAAGCAGGCCATCAGCATTTTTGCAGAGATGGCCTTTGAGCTCTGTGGTGTAGGTAGAGGCTTTACAGGCAGAGGCTGAACCGTCCTCCCAGCAGAAGGAAGAGTGAGCTATGGCAGCAGTGATGGGTGACCCTAATATTGGAGGGTTTGTGCCAAGAGAACATTGAGGCCGCTTGGCTTGGGTTCCTCCCTGGGGATGTGGGTGTGTTTTGCTCACAAGGAGACATACAATGAAAGGACTAAGTGGCTAGCCTCTATCCCACCTCCACCCCATGCCCTGCAGGATCTCAGCTTCCCAGAGCTCCTTGACCTCCAGCAAGTTCTCTGTCCTTCTGGTATCCAGCTGCCTCAGATGAGTGGCACATGACATGTATTTATGCTGAGTGTATCAGGATTCCAGAAACCTTAAAAATGACTGTCATCTACTCACCCTGCCTCCTCTGGCTCCACAAGACCAGGCCTGAAAGAAAGCTACCATCTACAGTGAGGCCACCCTCTTCTCTAAACCCAAACGTCTCAGAATTACTGGTTCAGTCTCAGCTAATCACAGCAACCATGAACTTACTGAAGTGGTAGTGTTTTAAAGATCGCCTATGAGCCAGCCAGACAGCTCAGTGGGTATAGTGCTGGCAACACAAGCCTGGCAACCTGGGTTCAGTCCCCAGAACTCACACTGGAAGGAGAGAACTAACTCCCCAAAGCTGTGCTCTGACTCCCATGGCACAATCTACAGACAGGGATGCAGTGTGACAGCTAAGCAGGTTGCTCAGTGTAGGAAGGGCTTACAATGTAGACAGAATCTGGATGCTTCTACTCAACCTTGCACCAAAAAACTGTTTATAATGCAAACAAGCTCACTGAGCCATGTGCTCTTGTGACCTGGGCACCTGATCTTGATCCCTCAGGACCCCACTTTGCCCTTCACCCAAGATAGTGAATGAATGTGGGTGTGCCTGAATTTGCATATCAAAGTAGCAAATTTATATTCATATCCTCTTTGAAAGCAGTGAGAATTGAGAAGGCTTGACATTGTGCATATGAGCTATTTTAGGCTTAGGGATCAAATGGCAAGATTCTTTGATAAAATTAAGGTGGATCCAAGCTTTGTAGTCCCCCAGTTCATGCGGGAGGGACTATTTGACTAAAGTATGGGGGGAGCAAGTTCCTGAGACATCAGAAGGAGCAGATGGTCCTCTGAATTCAGGCCCACTCTTAGCCTCAAATGCTAAGAGTCAGGCTGAGTCTTTATTCAGGTACGACTGTATTATGGCTTAGTAACACCATAGCCCAAGGTTCAAAAGTCTGGCTCCAAACTTGTGCATTTAACACAAGCGCTTGTAACCGTGAGATGTGAGATGTGGCTACTGCCGAACAGCTCATAGGTGACAGAGACCTGGATAGTCTGGCTGCTAATTAAACAATGGCTGCTTACTTGACATTTCTTAGGAGTAGACCTAGAGCTCAGGGCTCTGTGGATGCACAGAGAGGTAGGATATGACTGTCCCTGGGTGCTGAGGCCAGTGCAGGCTGTAGTCCCCAAGAGAGATGAAACTCATCTTGAGCTAAATAAGTCTTTATTACATGAACTTTTCCTAGGAAGTATAAACAAACATCTCTTCCCCTAGACAGGGCACCAACAACAGACCAAAGAACTATGCCACCAAGTCCAGCTTGGGGAACCAATGAGTTATTGGGCTTACTTACAGAACACGGGTGAGAGGTTACTTACAGGTGCATGGGTGACCCCCAAACAGCCTCATCACCAGGAAGTCTCACCCCAGCCTGGACTTCCTCATTGCTGCATAGTTGATGCCCCTCATCAGGTAACTTCCCACTCTAGCACCTCCCACCATGTGCAGCTGGGGTACAGCTGTCAGGGAGGTATAGGAGGGAATGGTTGGATCTGGTGGGGGGCGGGGTCTGAGGACATCCTTACTCCTTCTGTGAGGGAACATCAATAGGCCCAGTCCTGAGGGTCTCTTGTGAGCAGTCACAGCTGCTTCTGATGAAGATGGCAGTGGCTGTTCTGCATTGAGGACAGTGTTCTACAACAGTAGCATTTAAGCACAATGAGAAAATGTTCCTTGAAAGAACAAAAGGAATTACCAACTGATCGCTGTTATCAAAGGGATCATTAGCAGTGGGTTAGTTGGGTATATTAGTCTATTTTCTTTTATTATAACAAAATATCTGTGGCTAAGTACTTTGTAAAGAAAGGAGGGTTGGGGCTAGAGAGATGGCTCAATGTTTAAGAGTACTAGCTCTCTTGCAGAGGACCCAGGTTCAGTTTCCATGGCAGCCAACTCTCTGTAACTCCAGTTCCTGGGGGATCTGATGCCCTCGTCTGACCTCTGCAGGCACTACAATATGGGTGCACTTTCAAAGATGCAGGTAAAACCAGGCATGGTGGCGCACGCCTTTAATCCTAGCACTCGGGAGGCAGAGGCAGGCGGATCATTGTGAGTTCAAGGCCAGCCTGGTCTACATAGTGAGTTCAGGTTAGCTGGGACTACAGGAGACCATGTCTCAAAAAGAAAAAAGAAATGTAGGCAATATACTCATACACATAAAATAAAATAATAAATTAAAAAAAAATAAAAGAGGGTTACTTAGCTCTCAGTTCTAGAGGTTCAAATACATCACCCTGGTGAGGCAAGAATGCCAGACATTCAGGGGTCAGGCTTGCTCTTTTATTACAACACTCTGGAGAACTAACCAGGGCCCTATGAGAATTGCAGTAGTTCCTTTCAAGTGCAGCACCCTAAGTGACCAAATTATTTCCTATTAGCCCTACCTCCAAGGTACTTTTATGGTCTGAGAGACATGAGGTCTAGCTGGCAGGTATAGGCCACTAGGGGCAGGCCTTTGAAGGCTACTCCCACCTCTGGCTCTAATCTAGTTCTGTGCCTCTTGGTTAGCTGAGATGTAGACAAAGCCACCCTTGTCACCACGCCTTCCCCACCACGATGGACTGTAAATGCTTGTCAGTGTGAGTCAAAGTAAGCCTTCCCTCCTTGAGGCTGTTTCTGTCAGATACTTTGTTAGATGCAAGTCCTGTCACTTAATATAACTCCGCTTCCAAGACATAAATCCTTGGGGGCTATGCTCACGCCACAGCATGGAGACCCTCGTTTGCTAATTCAAATTGCTCAGACCAAGAGCTTCATTGTGGGCTTCTGCTGGTCATAGGCCCAGACCCTAAAGTCATCTCAAGACCTGGTAGCCACGAATGGAGATGTGATGAGAGGGCTCTGGGGGCCTCCCTTGGCTCCAACAGGCTTCATGGAAGAGGAGGGTGTGAAGATGGGAAGTTCCCAAGAGGGACAGATTGGGTCTGTCCCCAGAGATACCTCACTTTTGGTCACCATGTTAGCTTTCAAAACACTTCTCTACTTCTCTGGAACCTCCTCTCCCCAGGGAGGATGAGAGAGCAAGTGCTATGGAAAGGCAAGTGCTCAGTGGCTTGCTAGGGTGATACAGCAGAGCCAGGCCTAGACACCTGGCTTGTGTGTCACCCAAGGCCATGTCCCTCCACCACACTACAGATAGGACACAGAGGCTTCCTTCATTCACATCACACTCCATCTCCTTGGCCTCTGAGAGTCTGACTAGACCTGCTAAAATGTCCAGTGCAAATGGGTAGGTAATGAAGTCAAATAGAACTGGCTGCTGGGATGTAGCTCAGAGTTTGCCCAGCATGCACTGCACAGCATGCACTGGCCAGCACGCACAAAGTCTTGTTTGATCCCAGCACTGTGAGTCTGGGGAGGTGTTTAAAGGAGAATGGCCGGATGTTATTATCACATCATTTTCTGTCTCTCTTTTTGAGCTCTGTGAGATGTTTGCTAACAGTCTTGCCCAATTTTGACTCCAGCTTTAGGCTATGTATCCCTCAAAAGCCTTATTCCAGGGGTTAATCTTCACTGACTGTGGTTATATTAGTAATTATGTGCTGATCATCTGTTACAGGCTAGTGCTGTGCTAACGACTTATGTATACCTGTCTCCTTTATTCTTCTTTTGGTTTATTCTTATTTTATGTCTATGAGTGTTTTGCCTGCATGGATATGTGTATCACATATGTGCAATGCCTGTAGAGGCCAGAAGAGGGTGTCAGATCCTGGAACTGAAATTACAGATGGTTGTTAGTCATCTTGTGGGTTCCGGGAACTGAAAGCAGATCCTCCGCAGAGTAGCCAGTGCTCTTAACCACTGAGCCATCTCTCCGTCTTCTTTATCCGTCATAGTACGTTCTATTATGCCTATTTTACAGATGAAATTGAGGCAGAGAAAGTATATCTTGTGTTGGTCACATAGCTAAAAAGTGGCAGGGAGCTGGAGAGACAGCTCAGTAGGTAAAATGCTTGCCATGAAAGCATGAGGACCTATTTGTAATTCAAGTGCCAGGCAGGTGGAGACAGGAAGCTCCCTGAGGCTTAACAGACAACCAGCCCAGACTACTGGATGACTTCCAGGCCAGTGAGGGACCCTGTCTCAAGAAAACAAAGTGAACACTGCCCACAGAACA